TGGAAAATTTCAGTTGTGACTTCCCATTTAGATTTAGATCTTAAAAGCAGAAGCTGGTATCCTATGCAAAGAGTATTTTCAGACCTGTGGACCTGATTGAAACATTTTTGCATGTTGAACATCTAACCGTCAGTGTGGGGTGTTGTATCACATGAATCTGGTCTGTAGCACAGTACCTGATACGGTGATTGAAATACCTTTGGATCTGTTTTAAAAAATACCATGGCAGGGTTACATGTTGCAGGTAGGTCTGGAGGTAAGGAAACAAGTTAGAGCAATACTTGAGACATGATAAAAAGATGCCTTGCTTTTTTTCTTTTTAATACTTGATAAAAGGGGCTGGGGATTTAGCTCAGCGGCAAAGCGCCTGCCTGGCAAGCGCAAGGTCCTGAGTTCGGTTCCCAGTACCGGAGAAAAACCAAAAAAAAAAAAAACTTGATAAAGTGAAAAGTCCTGTCACTTGTTTATAAGTCATATTGGCAGCCTGAATTCAATCTATGTAGAACTGTAGACTACATTTCTTAACCACAGCCAGGCGTGGTGGCACACACCTGTAATGCCAGCAGCAGGGAGGCTGTTTGGGTTCAAGATCAGTCTGGGCTACATAGCAAGACCCTGTCTCAAGAAAATTTCTTAATCTCAAATCCAGTGACTATGTTAAATAATGACCAACTATTCTTCAGCTGATTTAAGGACTAAGAGATGGCTGGGTGTGGGGGTGCATGCCTGTAATCCCAGCTCAAACTCAGAGTTCAAGGCCAACCTGGATATAGAGCAAGACCCTGTCTGTAAAAAAACAAAACACCAAAGCAGCCTAACACATGAATGACAGGGCTTAATTCTATGTATTACTACCAGGCAGTTTGAACCACCAGTGGCACTTGAGTGACTGTCCGGTCAAGCAGCTTGTACCGCTGGTGGTATAAGTACAGTCATCCATGAGGCATATAGCACCTCTGATTCAAGCAGGGAGGAACACATTAAACTTTAAAACTAAACCTCATATGAGCTACCTGTCCTTCATTATTCTTTCTCTGACCTTGTGGTTCGTATTGGATGTGCTAGTTCTCAAAATATACTGGATTTTTTGG